TGCACAGGCCAATCACGGGGGGCTGCGGGTCTGAACTGCACAGGCCAATCACGGGGGGCTGCGGGTCTGAACTGCACAGGCCAATCACGGGGGCACTGCGGGTCTGAACTGCACAGGCCAATCACGGGGGGCTGCGGGTCTGAACTGCACAGGCCAATCACGGGGGGCTGCGGGTCTGAACTGCACAGGCCAATCACAGGGGCTGCGGGTCTGAACTGTGTCCAGCAGGCTGGAGAGCGGGGCTAAGTGGAGGCTGCTCACATTGGAGGACCTGGGATTAAATCCCCTCCTTCTTGGGGCCTCGGTGTTTTGTCTCTCCTGGTTTAGTGAGGCCCATGTACTGGGGAGGGCCTTCCCCTGCTCACACCTAGAAAGTGCCTTCCCGTACGCTTAGACTAGTCTCGGAGCAGAAGTGGGGGACCTCCGCCCAGACAAGTGGACACATGAAATTCACCAGCACAGGAGGGTGAGGAGGGGGGCGGGTCTGCCCGGAGGGCGGGAGGCTCCCTTCCCCCCACTCTCCTTTCCTCCCTGTCTGGCCTGGTCCCCGGGTCCCCGCCTGGCCCCGGGTCCCCGCCTGGCCCTGGGTCCCCGCCTGCCCTGCCCGCTTCCTGGTGAGTCAGTTTGTGGACATTTGCGGTGGAACAGTTGCTGAGGACCGTGTGACGTCCGTGCTGTAAAGTCTGCGCCCGCACTGGGAAGTGTCTTGTCCAGGTAAACACTGCCAGGTGCGGGACAGCAGGAAAAGCCCAGAGTGCCGGAGACCCCGGCTGCCCGGGCAGCCGACCCACAGCCCATGCCTGCGCTGCCCTTGCGGTGGGAGGGCACCGTGCAGCCCCCTGCAGTCCACCCCCCCCGTGGCCCCTCACCCCTGCGGGGGGCCCCTGCCCCTCCCCCCGTGACCCCAACCCCCCGCGGCCTCTCCCCCGCGGCCCCTCCTCCCTGCGGTCCCTCAGGGTGGGGACAGGTAAGGGTCTCTGAGGCCAGGGACGCGTGCCTCCCGTGCCCTGCACAGAGATGCCGGCCACCTGGACACCGCCACATCCCTGTGTCTGCTGGTCTAGGGCAGTTTTGACAGCTCTGCAGCTCGATGCTGTTGGAACCCAGCTCAGAGCTTCGGCCCGTCACTCCAGACCCAACGTGAGGCCCACTGGCCGTCCGGGGCCCTGCACCTGCCGGGGCACGGCCATTGCTGCTGCCGCCGCCGCCGGCCGAGACACCAGCAGCCACCGGGCCCCTGGGCATGGCCATCCCCAACCCACTGCTTGGCCCTCGTCCCGCCCCGCACGGCCTGCCACGTGTCACAGTCCACGAGACCCCACAGGACCCTGCCACGGGCCAGGAGCACGGCTGGGATCAGGCCTGGGCCTGAGTTACTGTCACTGCCTGACCAAGGGGACACAGACCTGAGCCCCGCCACCCAGGGGGACCTCCTCTCCACCCAGGGGGACCTCCTCTCCACCCAGGGGGACCTCCTCTCCACCCAGAGAGGACCTCTTCTCCACCCAGGGAGGACTCACCTCTCCACCCAGGGAGGACCTCCTCTCCACCCAGGGTCAGGACCTCCTCTCCACCCAGGGGGACCTCCTCTCCACCCAGGGGGACCTCCTCTCCACCCAGGGAGGACTCACCTCTCCACCCAGGGGAGGACTCACCTCTCCACCCATGGGAGGACCTCCTCTCCACCCAGGGGAGGACCTCCTCTCCACCCAGGGGGACCTCCTCTCCACCCAGGGAGGACCTCCTCTCCACCCAGGGAGGACTCACCTCTCCACCCAGGGGAGGACTCACCTCTCCACCCAGGGGAGGACTCACCTCTCCACCCAGGGGAGGACCTCCTCTCCACCCGGGGAGGACCTCCTCTCCACCCGGGGAGGACCTCCTCTCCACCCAGGGGGACCTCCTCTCCACCCAGGGAGGACCTCCTCTCCACCCAGGGAGGACCTCCTCTCCACCCGGGGAGGACCTCCTCTCCGCCCAGGGAGGACTCACCTCTCCGCCCAGGGAGGACTCACCTCTCCACCCAGGGAGGACCTCCTCTCCACCCAGGGAGGACTCACCTCTCCACCCAGGGAGGACCTCCTCTCCACCCAGGGAGGACCTACTCTCCACCCAGGGAGGACTCACCTCTCCACCCAGGGAGGACCTCCTCTCCACCCAGGGAGGACTCACCTCTCCACCCAGGGGGACCTCCTCTCCACCCAGGGAGGACCTCCTCTCCACCCGGGGAGGATCTACCCCTTCCATCCACAGATGGCCTGCATCTCCATCTTGGGGGCTGCATCCTCAGAGCTTAGGGCTGTGGCTGTGCCGCTGTTGTATTCTGGCTGAGACTTATTGGTCTCACCCGGATCAGAGGAGCCTGGCTCCTGGGGCTCGTGAGCCAGGTCTGTCCTTGTGTTTCCCTCGGGCTGGGTGCCAGGGTGTGGGGCCCACAACGGGAAGTTGCACAATGTGTTCTTGGCCTGAGGGCTCTGGTTCCCTAATCCCTGTTTCTCTAGCTCAGGCTACCTTCCAGGTCCCTTGTCCGGGCAGGGGGACAGCTCCAGGCTGCGGCTGGTGGGCACAGGGGGCACTGAGCTGGGACGGGTGGGAGGCTTTCTCCCAGCCCCAGTGACGCTCACCCTGGTCTCTGATGCCCTCCCAGCGCAGGGACCTTCTCCTCCCGGCCTGTCTTAGGGGCTGGGTGGGGCAGCAGGGGCTGCAGGCTGACACATGTGGATGGAGTCTGGGCCTCAGGAACTCTTCCTGAATCTAGGGCCTGTCCAGGTCAGCGGGCGGCCTGGCCAGGGGCTTGGTGAATGCCAGCCGCATCTTCCTTATTGGCCACAGGAGCTTGGGGCCACGTTTGGCTCCGAGGCCTCCCCTGTGATCAGAGCTCATGACGGACACCGACCCAGAAATGAGAATCAGGATCCCATTGTTTTCAACAGGGGGAAGACATGGCGGGGAAGGGACCCCACGTCTCTGTTCATTCCCCAGCCGCAGGGTCTGGGCTGCCCGGGCCTCTACGCCTGGCCAGCCTCTGTGCTGAGGGCCTCTATGCCTGGCCAGCCTCTGTGCTGAGCGCCTCTACCCCTGGCCAGCCTTTGTGCTGAGCGCCTCTACCCCTGGCCAGCCTCTGGGCTGAGGACCTCTACCCCTGGTCAGCCTCTGTGCTGAGGGCCTCTACGCCTGGCCAGCCTCTGTGCTGAGGGCCTCTACCCCTGGCCAGCCTCTGGGCTGAGGGCCTCTACCCCTGGCCAGCCTCTGGGCTGAGGGCCTCTACCCCTGGCCAGCCTCTGGGCTGAGGGTCTCTACCCCTGGCCAGCCTCTGGGCTGAGGGTCTCTACCCCTGGGCCAGCCTCTGTGCTGAGGGCCTCGCGGGGCCAGCCTCTGTGCTGAGGGCCTCTACCCCTGGCCAACCTCTGTGCTGAGGGTCTCTACCCCTGGCCAGCCTCTGTGCTGAGGGCCTCTACCCCTGGCCAGCCTCTGGGCTGAGGGCCTCGCGGGCTCGTGCTGAGGCTGGTGCAGGCTGGACTGATACACTGTGCCCTTCCAGGTGGCTCCAGACGCCGGGAAGGCAGTGGTCGGCCAGGAAGGCAGTGGTTGGCCTCAGCCACTCAGGATCAGGCTCTGCAGAGGCCGTGCTTCTTTCTGGGGCAGGATCCAGACAGAGAGAGTGGGGGAGACAGAGACAGACAGACAGAGACAGACAGACAGAGACAGAGGCACACAGAGAGACAGAGACAGACAGAGACAGAGACAGACAGAGACAGACAGAGACAGAGACACACAGAGAGACAGACAGAGACAGAGATAGAGACAGACAGAGACAGAGACAGACAGAGACAGACAGAGACAGACAGAGACAGAGACAGAGACAGAGACAGACAGAGACAGAGATAGAGACAGACAGAGACAGAGACAGACAGAGACAGACAGAGACAGAGACACACAGAGAGACAGACAGAGACAGACAGAGACAGAGATAAAGACAGAAGCAGAGACAGACAGACAGAGACAGAGAGACAGAGACAGAGGCACACAGAGACAGACAGAGGTAGAGATAGAGACAGAGACAGAGACAGACAGAGAGACCGAGGCACACAGAGCGAGGTATGGCAGTTGACGGGGCAGCTCCGTGCGTGCGCCCGGGAGCAGCAGCAGCGGTGGGAGGGCTGCGGGGACGGCCTGTGAGGAGGGCGGCCCTCCCCCAGCCCCATCTGCAGGCCTCAAGCCGCTTCCTCCTGCAGGATGGGACCTGATTCTACCCAGAGCCCCTGGCCGGGCTGGGCGCGCCCCGCGTTCCAATTACAGGTAATTCCAGGACCGGCTGAGCCTGGGAGCGCGGGATCAGAGCGCAGATGGAGCTGGGCTCTGACGGAGCTCCAGGCTCCACCGAGGCCGGCGGCCCCACGCGCCCACGCTTCTGGAGGCCACACGGGGCATGCGCTGGTGTGGGGTGCCGGCTCTGGCCCCCTCGCCCCCTCGCTCCCCCTGCCGGGGGAGGATTACCTCCCGAGGTGGGCCGGGCCGGAGCAGACCCCAGGCCCCCTGGCCGGGGCGGCCACGTCGTTTGTGGCTGATGGGCCTCTGGAATGGGAGGAATGCACACACTCCCTAGCCTGGGAGTCCCTCATTCTACCTGGGCACGGGGTTGGGGCTGGGAGCCGGCTCTGCGGCCAGGATGCGCTTCTGGCAAGAACCTTTGCCCTCTTTCTTGGCTGGGGTCTCCTAGCGCTGGAAGGGACGGGAGCCTGGCCGTGGGTGTGTGCGGCGTGGGGAGGTGTGGGGTGCTGCATCCTGAGGAAGGCCGGGTTTACTCAGAGAGTCATAAAAGGATAAACTCCGATAACCTGAGTCAATATTTCCCCACGGGAGCCCCCACAGCTGTTTTCTGCATAATCCGCAGGCCCCGCCCACCGCCGCCCCTCCCCCTCCGCCCCGCACAGCCTGCTGGGCATATAAGGTGCCCACCCCGGCCCTGGCCGCTCTCGCACGCCGTCCTGCTGAGCGCCATGGGGTGGCCGCTGGCTCGCCTGGTGGCCGTCTGCCTGGCCTTGACCCTGGCCAGGGGCTCAGAGCTCCAGAGAGGTGAGAGGTCCGGGGGGGGGGGGTGCGCAGTGGGAGGCAGCCCGGCCAGGAGGCCGGTCAGGCGGGCCAGGCAGCCCAGCGTGGCCAGTGGAGCCTGGGAACCGAGGGCCCAGGACAGCCTGAGGGCTCTCGCCGGATGGGGGTCCGGGACAGCCCGAGGGCTCTAGCTAGATGGAGGTCTGGGACAGCCTGAGGGCTCTAGCTAGATGGAGGTCTGGGACAGCCTGAGGGCTCTAGCTAGATGGAGGTCCGGGACAGCCCGAGGGCTCTAGCTGGATGGGGGCCCGGGACAGCCCGAGGGCTCTAGCTAGATGGAGGTCTGGGACAGCCCGAGGGCTCTAGCTGGATGGGCCCGGGACAGCCATCACCATCACCCCTCTGAGGGTGGAGTGAGCTCCAAGGGGCCCTACCAGAGCGGGGCAGCTGCCGGCTGAGGCGCTCTGGTCCCCAGGCCAGGGGGGGGGGTGCTGCAGGGGGGAGCCGGGGGGCAAGGGCGGGGAGCTGGGTTGGGGCGGAAAGGCCAAGCCGCCCCTGTCCCGTCGCCCCTGTCCCGTCAGGGCGGGCTCAGGGCCACGGCCCCTGGGTCTCAGCTCCCGTGACGGCTCAGGAGGGCCCAGCCCCTGTGTGTGGGTGGGCGGCGGGGAGGGGCGCCTGGAGTGGCAGTGTTGGGGGTCCGCACAGGGTTACACGGGGCCGGGCCCCGCCGCGCAGCTCTGGGGCAGGGGACCGGGCGGGCCTGGGCGCTCATGGCGTCCCCCGCGGCTCCATCCAAAGGCCGGCCCCGGAACCACGGCCACAGCGTCTGCAGCACCTGGGGCGCCTTCCACTACAAGACCTTCGACGGTGACGTCTTCCGCTTCCCCGGCCTCTGCGACTACAACTTCGCCTCCGACTGCCGGGATGCCTACAAGGAGTTTGCCGTGCACCTGCGGCGGGGCGCGGGCACCGACGGGACCCAGCCCCGGGTGGAGTCCATCCTGCTCACCATCAAGGACGACGCCATCTACCTCACGCACCAGCTGGCCGTGGTGAACGGAGCCATGTGAGTGGGCAGCAGTGTCCCCTGGGGACTGGCAGTGTCCCCCGTGCTGTCCTGGGGTGGCAGTGTCCCCTGTGCTGTCCTGGGGACTGGCAGTGTCCCCTGGGGACTGGCAGTGTCCCCTGTACTGTCCTGGGGACTGGCAGTGTCCCCTGTACTGTCCTGGGGACTGGCAGTGTCCCCTGTGCTGTCCTGGGGTGGCAGTGTCCCCTGTGCTGTCCTGGGGTGGCAGTGTCCCCTGTGCTATCTTGGGGGTGGTGGCAGTGTCCCCTGTGCTGTCTTGGGGACTAGCAGTGTCCCCTGTGCTGTCCTGGGGTGGCAGTGTCCCCTGTGCTATCTTGGGGTTAGTGGCAGTGTCCCTGTGCTGTCCTGGGGTGGCAGTGTCCCCTGTGCTGTCCTGGGGTGGCAGTGTCCCCTGTGCTATCTTGGGGTTAGTGGCAGTGTCCCCTGTGCTGTCCTGGGGGCTGGCAGTGTCCCCTCCCATTCTCGTAAGGATGGTGGTATTTGCTTGGCTATGGAGGCCTGCTCCCCACACCCTCTATGAGACCTCTTTCTGCCTGGCATGTGGCTTTGAGGTCTGAGCTCAGGTCACAGATTCATTCAACAAACACGGATGAATCCCCTTCACGAACAAGGTGTCTTGCTTTTCCTGTGGGCTTCTCTGGAAGAGGGGGTAGTGACCACCAGAGCCCGGTCCCAGGCTGGGGAGGATGGTGACCACCAGAGCCCGGTCCCAGGCTGGGGGGTGGTGACCATCAGAGCCCGGTCCCAGGCTGGGGAGGATGGTGACCACCAGAGCACGGTCCCAGGCTGGGGGGGTAGTGACCACCAGAGCCCGGTCCCAGGCTGGGGGGGGTGGTGACCACCAGAGCCCGGTCCCAGGCTGGGGAGGATGGTGACCATCAGAGCCCGGTCCCAGGCTGGGGGGGGGTGGTGACCACCAGAGCCCGGTTCCAGGCTGGGGGGGGTAGTGACCATCAGAGCCCGGTCCCAGGCTGGGGGGGTAGTGACCATCAGAGCCCGGTCCCAGGCTGGGGGGGTAGTGACCATCAGAGCCCGGTCCCAGGCTGGGGAGGATGGTGACCACCAGAGCCCGGTCCCAGGCTGGGGAGGATGGTGACCACCAGAGCCCGGTCCCAGGCTGGGGAGGATGGTGACCACCAGAGCCCGGTCCCAGGCTGGGGAGGATGGTGACCACCAGAGCCCGGTCCCAGGCTGGGGAGGATGGTGACCACCAGAGCCCGGTCCCAGGCTGGGGGGGGGGGGTGGTGACCACCAGAGCCCGGTCCCAGGCTGGGAGGGTGGTGACCATCAGAGCCCGGTCCCAGGCTGGGGGGGGGGTGGTGACCACCAGAGCCCGGTCCCAGGCTGGGAGGGTGGTGACCATCAGAGCCCGGTCCCAGGCTGGGGGGAGGTGGTGACCACCAGAGCCGGGTCCCAGGCTGGGGGGTGGTGACCACCAGAGCCCGGTCCCAGGCTGGGGGGGTAGTGACCATCAGAGCCCGGTCCCAGGCTGGGGGGTGGTGACCACCAGAGCCCGGTCCCAGGCTGGGGGGTGGTGACCACCAGAGCCCGGTCCCAGGCTGGGGGGGGTAGTGACCATCAGAGCCCGGTCCCAGGCTGGGGGGGGTAGTGACCATCAGAGCCCGGTCCCAGGCTGGGGGGGGTAGTGACCATCAGAGCCCGGTCCCAGGCTGGGGGGGCTGAGCCCAGGCTCGGGTTACAGAAGGCTGACGCTATTGTTCCTGCTTTGTGCGGGGAACAATGGGCGTCTCAGGTGGATTTCTGTCCTGCCGTGGGAGTTGCCCTCTCCCTGTTTCACGGAGCTGTTTCCTGCACAGCTCCATCTTCACTCCCCTGCCCCGCTGGCCTGCCTGGACGGGGCGGGTGGGGAGGGCAGCGGGGCTGGGGGTGGGGCTCGAGCTGGGGTGAGGCAGCCAGCCCGGTCAGGGATGCGTGGCCCACCTGGGACAGAGGCGGGGGCGGGCTGTCCTCAGCGCCCAGAGCTGGCGAGTGACCCTGGTGCCCCTCCAGGGTCAGCACCCCACACTACAGCTCCGGGCTGCTCATCGAGAAGAACGATGCCTACACCAAGGTCTACTCCAGGGCTGGCCTCACCCTCATGTGGAACCGCGAGGACGCTGTCATGGTGGGCACCGGCGTCCCCAGGCTGGGGGCGGCAGGCTCCCGTGTCAGGCCGGAGGGCAGAGGACCTGGGCCGGCCCTCACTGGGCGGTGGGAAGGTTACTGGTAGCTGCTAGTCCTGGGCCCTCAGCCCCTGCCTCGATTGGTCCTCAGGGCTGCAGGGCACAGGCTGTCTGCAGCCACTGCCCCACTGGGTCCGGATGGTGGCTGCCCGGGGCCTCCCCTCCACCGCCCTGCTTAAGGATCTGGCCAGGCTGGGGGCTTGGGTGGCAGCCTGGGACCCGGGCACCACATGCTCACTCCTTTTCCCTATCAGCTGGAGCTGGACAGCAGGTTCCAGAACCACACCTGTGGCCTCTGCGGGGACTACAATGGCCTGCAGACCTACTCAGAGTTCCTCTCCGAAGGTGGGCTCTGGGCTGGGCAGCAGGAGGTGGGGGCCGGGCCGGGGCCCCAGCTCACGCTGACCCGTCCCCCGCCTGGCTCTCCCCCACTGACCGGACCCCTGCCCACCAGGCATACGCTTCAGCGCCCTGGAGTTCGGGAACATGCAGAAGATCAACAGGCCAGGGGTGCCCTGTGAGGACCCGGTGGAGGAGCCAGCGCCCGAGTCCTGCTCTGAGCACGTGAGTGGCAGGCTGGGCCCCCCAGCTCCCAGTGGGCCCCCCTCTGCTGGCTTTGGGTGGGGACCCCAGAGGCGAAGCGAGGGGCAGGGGATGGAGGGAGAGCAGCTGGCCGCATCGCGTCCCCCCCTCTGTCCAGCGAGCAGAGTGCGAGAGGCTTCTGACGGCAGCGGCCTTCGAGGACTGCCAGGCCCGGGTGCCAGTGGAGCTGTACGTGCGCGCCTGCATGCAGGACCGCTGCCAGTGCCCACCAGGGGGCGCCTGCGAGTGCAGCACCGTGGCCGAGTTCTCCCGCCAGTGCTCCCACGCGGGGGGCCAGCCGGGGAGCTGGAGGACAGACTCGCTCTGCCGTGAGCAGTGGGGGACCCCTGGGGGGGTGCTCTGGGGTGGAGCTCGGGGGCCGGGGCCGGGACGCTCTGCCGTGAGCAGTGGGGACCCCCGGGGGGGGGTGCTCTGGGGTGGAGCCCGGGGCCGGGGCCGGGACGCTCTGCCAGCCGGGGACTCCCGGGGGGGGGGGGCTCTGGGGTGGAGCCCCGGGCCGTGTCTGTGCCCAGGAACCAGGCAGGCCCTGGCGGGGCCCGGCCGCTGGGCCCCGTCCTCCTCGAACCGCAGACTCACGGCTGCCTTTGCTTCCAGCCAAGAGCTGCCCTGGGAACATGATTTACCTGGAAAGCGGCTCCCCCTGCATGGACACCTGCTCACACCTGGAGGTCAGCAGCCTGTGTGAGGAGCACCGCATGGACGGCTGCTTCTGCCCTGAAGGTGTGGTTCTGGAGAGTCCCCACTCAGGGGCTCTGGGGCCCCAACGAGGGTCTGGGACTCTCTGTACCAGGTGGGGCACAGGTGTGGGAGGCGGCGCGGTGAGTCGGAGGGAGGCACTTCCTGGGGTCCCGGGCCGACGCCCCACTCCCTCTGCCCCAGGCACCGTGTACGATGACATCACGGGCAGTGGCTGCGTCCCCGTGAGCCAGTGCCACTGCCGGCTGCACGGGCGTCTGTACACGCCGGGTCAGGAGGTCAGCAATGAGTGTGAGCAGTGGTGAGTCTCGGGGCTCGGGGATGGGGGCAGGGCGGGCGGGTGCCAGGCAGGGTGCCACCGAGCCCCAACCCGCTCCCCGCTGCCCGGCAGCCTCTGCCACGCCGGCCGCTGGGTGTGCAAAGACCTGCCCTGCCCGGGGACCTGCGCGCTGGAGGGCGGGGCTCACATCTCCACCTTTGATGGGAAAAAGTTCACCTTCCACGGGGACTGCTACTACGTCCTGACCAAGGTAGCCGCCCGACGGGCGGGCGGGCGGGCGGGCAACGCGGAGCTGGGGCCCTGGCTGTTCCTGAGGCCAGCGGGGGTGTGGAGGGGGCCGCGGCGTGCTGGGGCGGCGGGCGGCCGCTGGCCCTCACGTCTCAGCGTCCGCCGTCCGCCCCGCAGGGGGAACACAACGACTCGTATGCCCTGCTGGGCGAGCTGGCCCCGTGCGGCTCCACTGACAAGCAGACCTGCCTGAAGACCGTGGTGCTACTGACCGACAAGAACAAGAATGTGGGTGCCCCCCGCGCCCCTTGCCCAGTACCCCGAGCTCTGCAGACCCGCTCCATCCTGTGGACCCTTGACTTTCAGTTAGATTATGACCTTTAAGTAGTTGTGCAGAGGGGTTTCAATCACATGGCAGTTTGTGAGTACAACACACCTCAGTCCACGTGACCCTTCCCATCTGCCCCACCCCCTCCACCCCCCCAGGTGCACACTGAAGGTTCTGACTGTGCGGGCCTACCCTTCTCCGTTCTTCTCTCCGTTCTTTTGCCCGCTCCCCTGGACCCCCCACTCTGTGTCCCAGCCCTCGGTATTCACTGTTAGCGTGTAAGCGGTTCAAAGGCGTTACACCGTTGGAATCCTCCCTTGCGCAAACACACCATGGCGTGCATGTGTATGGCTCTGTATGTCTTTTACATACATCTTTACCTTTGTCCCCACTTCCACATATGAGAGAAACATGCGCTGTCTCTCTTAGCTCAACTTTCCTCACACAGCTGGACAAAGGACACGATGTCATTCCTCCAGATAAGTGGGGAAAGGTTTGCATGTACATATGGAGGTACATATACGTATATGCATTCAAGCCCACATGTATCCTCTCGACCTGTGTCTTGGCTGTGATGAATAGTGCAGCAATGACAATGGGTGTGCAAGCATCTTTGCTGTATCCCGACTGTCCCCCTTTGAACTGTCCCCCCCGTTGCTGGGCTGTGGGGTCTTCTCCAGTACTTTTCTGAGCTGGCTTCCTTGCAGGTGGTGGCCTTCAAGTCAGATGGCAGTGTGCTGCTCAATGAGATGGAGGTGACCCTGCCCCACGTGGCTGGTGAGTCCCCTGTCCTGAGGGAGCCCTGACGGGGGGGAGGGGCAGCTGTGACTCTGGCAGCCTCTGCTCTCCAGCTGCTGGTTGTGGCGGGAGAAGGTGATGGAGGACCACAGGGGAAGCAGGGCCCAGGGGTCCTGTGCGCTCACCGCACCTTGCCTTGCAGCGAGCTTCGCCATCTTCCAACCCTCCTCCTACCACATTGTTGTGAACACGGCGTTTGGGCTGCGGCTGCAGGTCCAGCTGGTTCCGGTCATGCAGCTCTTTGTGACTCTGGACCAGGCTTCCCAGGGGCAGGTGCAGGGTGAGTGGCCCAGCGGGGTTTGCCCCTGCAAACGTCCCACACAGGGCCTGCCCCCCGCCAGCCCTGGACCCCCCCCCAACCCTGTGCTGGCCCCTCAGGCCTCTGCGGGAACTTCAACGGCCTGGAGAGTGATGACTTCATGACGTCTGGCGGGCTGGTAGAGGCGACGGGTGCCGGCTTTGCCAACACCTGGAAGGCCCAGACGAGCTGCCATGACAAGCTGGACTGGCTGGATGACCCCTGCTCGCTCAACATCGAGAGTGGTGAGGCTCAGGCCCGGGTGGGGGCACCTGCGTCCCGGCCTCCGGGGTGGGGGCACCATGTCCCGGCCTCCGGGGTGGGGGCACCGCATCGCGGCCTCCAGGGTGGGGGCACCTGCGTTGCAGCCTCCGGGCTGGGCGAGCCCTGGGCTCGGGGCTGGGGGCACCATGTCCCGGCCTCCGGGCTGGGGGCACCGCGTCCCAGCCTCCGGGCTGGGGGCACACGAGCCCTGGCCAGCACTGCCTTAGGGTGGACGGGGCTCTGGCGGGTTAGGGCGCAGGGGTTGGTGGGGGTGGACAGCCTGCCGTGCCAGGTTCCAGCCTGTCACCTGCTGCTGCCCACCACAGGACTGTTCATTGTAGCTCAGTGACTGACAGCGAGGGCTGGGCTGGCCACTCGCTGGGAGTGAGGGCCAGATTGGCTACTCACGGGTGGTGGTCCCCGTCCAGGAGTTGGCCTGGCACCGTGAGAGGCCGCATGAGCTCCCCGCCACACCCAGGGTCCTCTCTGGATTCTGCTTTAAGCTGGGACACTGGGGGTGGGGTCTCCTTGGAGGAGCAGAGGTGGTAGGTGGTTGGCAAGGAGCTCCTAGAGATTTGACTGGAGAGAGGAAGGGACCTGGTGTGGGTGAGGGGACCCTGTCCCTCAGCCCGGGTGAGCTACTGGACTGGGGCTCTACAGAGAGGCCCTGGCCCTGCTGAGGTTCTGACCCATTCCAGCCAACTACGCTGAGCACTGGTGCTCACTTCTGAGGAGGACTGAGACCCCCTTCGGCAAATGCCACCTGGCCGTCGACCCCACGGAATACTACAAGGTGGGTGTGCAGTGTGCGGTGTGCAAATGTGCAGTGTGCTGCGTTCAGTTTATAGTATGCAAATGTGCAGTTTGCAGTGTGCTATGTGCAGTTTACAGTGTGCAGATGTGCTGTGTCCAGTGTACTGTGTGCAGTGTGCAGCATGCAGTGTGCAGTGTGCCTTGTGCAGTGTGGAAATGTGCAGTGTACAGATGTGCTGTTGTCCAGTGTACTGTGTGCAGTGTGCCTTGTGCAGTGTGCTGTGTGCCATGTGCCGTGAGCTGTGTGCTGTGTGCAGTGTACTGTGTGCAGTGTGCAGATGTGCTGTGTGCAGTGTACTGTGTGCAGTGTGCAGTGTGCCTTGTGCAGTGTACTGTGTGCTGTGTGCAGTGTGCCTTGTGCAGCATGCTGTGTGCCTTATGGAGTGTGCTGTGTGCAGTGTGCTGTGTGCTGTGTGCAGTGTGCTGTGTGCAGTGTACTGTGTACAGTGTGCTGTGTGCAGTGTGCCATGTGCTGTGTGCAGTGTGCTGTGTGCCGTGTGCAGTGTGCTGTGTGCCGTGTGCAGTGTACTGTGTGCAGTGTGCTGTGTGCGGTGTGCAGTGTGATGTGTGCCGTGTGCCGTGTGCAGTGTGCTGTGTGCAGTGTGCTGAGTACTGTGTGCCGTGTGCAGTGTGCTATTGTGCAGTGTGCCTTGTGCAGTGTACTGTGTGCAGTGTGCAGTGTACTGTGTGCAGTGTACTGTGTGCAGTGTGCCGTGTGCAGTGTGCAGTGTGCCGTGTGCAGTGTGATGTGTGCCGTGTGCCGTGTGCCGTGTGCAGTGTGCTGTGTGCTAAAGCAGCCCGGGGGCTTGGTGCTCCTGGCTGAGCCTGCATCTTCTAGGTGTGTGCGTCACACTGCGTGCCTGCGCAGCTCTCAAGCGCACAGGTGGCTGGCCACTCCCCTCACTGTCTGCTGCCTTGTTCTGCTGTGCAGAGGTGCAAATATGACACGTGTAACTGCCAGAACAATGAAGACTGCCTGTGCGCGGCCCTGTCCTCCTACGCCCGGGCCTGCGCGGCCAAGGGTGTCATGCTGTGGGGCTGGCGGGAGCGTGTCTGCAGTGAGTGTCCCTGCATGCTGGGTCCTGGGATGGGGTCCAGGCCCAGAGCCCGGGGCCCTGAGCACGGGAGGTGCAGAAGAGGGCCGGTCCCTAAGGACCCCCTGCTGCCTGCTCCCAGACAAGCAGGGGTGCTGCAGGGAGTGGGGTACACCCATGTCTGCCATCCCAGGGACAGACTTTGGGGGGTCAGCTGGGGGCCAGCCTTGGGGGGGTCAGTTGGGGGTCAGCTTTGAAGGTGGTAGTTGGGGGGTCAGCTTTGGGGGGGTCAGCTGGAGGTCAGTGCACTCACCCTCACTCTGGCCCTGTGGTCCCCCCTAGACAAGGACGTGGACTCCTGCCCCACCTCCCAGGTCTTCCTGTACAACCTGACCACCTGCCAGCAGACCTGCCGCTCGCTCTCTGACGGGGACACCCACTGCCTCAAGGGCTTTGCGCCGGTGGACGGCTGCGGCTGCCCGGACCGCACCTTCCTGGACGAGAAAGGCCGCTGCGTGCCCCTGGCCAAGTGCTCCTGCTACCACCACGGTCTCTACCTGGAGGCCGGAGAAGTGATCCTGCGGCAGGAGGAACGCTGGTGGGGCAGGGTCAGGGGTCAGCGGGGGGGTCAGGGGCCAGCGGGGGGGGTCAGGGGTCAGCGAGGGGGGGAGGAACAGGATGGAGGAACGGCTCTGGCTCTGCTCCGGGTCTCTGCTCCAAAGCAAACCTTGGGGAACTCTGTGGGGAAAGAGGGCCCCACAGGGGTGGAGATGCTCGGAGCGGGGGTCCCCCGGCAGCCGGCTGGCCGTGTCCTCAGCTGGCGATGGTGTTCTTGTGACCGTCGTGAGTGGGTGCAGGGCCCGGCCCACTCACCCCCCTCTCTCTCACAGTGTTTGCCAGAATGGAAGGCTGAATTGCAGGCAGGTCAAGTTGCTTAGCCAGAGTAAGTGCTGCCTGCAGGACAGGGTGGGGGGCTCCCACCCGTGGCTCCCTCCCCTCCCCTTCCCCTGCCTCTGCCTGGGGCTCCAGCTGAAGGCCGGCCTCTGCCCGCAGGCTGCCGGCCCCCGAAGATCCTCGTTGACTGCAACAACCTGACGGCTCCCGCCACGCAGAGCCCCCGTCCGAGGAGCTGCCAGGCACTGGTGGCTGGCTATGTGCGTGTTCTGGGGGCTGCGGTGGGCGGGCAGGCTGGGAGGGTCCCTGGTGGGGAGGGGGGGGCGGCGGGGCCTTACCCTGCCCCACCCACCAGCCTGGCCCGGACCGAGGGTGGCAGTGTGATGAGGGGCGTGCCCTCCTGGGGCCGGAGGCCATTGCCGGGACTCTGGCAGCCAGCCTGTGGGCAGCGGCGGGGGGGGGCGGTCAGGGGCCCCGGGACGGCCTCAGAGCCTCGCGAGAGGCAGTGAGGACCTAGCTCAGGAAGCCCTGCTTTGTGCCGCCCCCAGTACCACACGGAGTGTGTCAGCGGCTGCGTGTGCCCCGGCGGGCTGCTGGATGATGGGCGCGGGGGCTGCGTGCAGGAAGAGGCGTGCCCATGCATGCACAACAAGGACCTGTACCGCCCGGGGGACCAGATCAAGATGGACTGCAACAACACCTGGTGAGCAGGCCCCGCCTGGCCACTCCAGAGGGTGGGCCGAGGTGGGCGCGGACTCCGGAGGGCCACAGAGGGCCACAGTCGGCAGCGGGCCTCCGGTGTCTGCAGAGGCCTGGAGCCTTGGTGGGCGTGGGGCCTTTGGGACGGCCCTGCACTGTGGCCCACACGTGCCTGCGCGAGCTGCCTGGGCGCCTCTTAGCTCCTCCTGCTCCCCTCAGCACCTGCCAGAGGGGACGCTGGGCGTGCACGCAGTACGCGTGCCACGGCACCTGCTCCATCTATGGGAGTGGCCACTACATCACCTTTGACGGGAAGCACTATGACTTCGACGGGCACTGCTCCTACGTGGCTGTGCAGGTGAGGCTGGGCGGGGCCGGCACCTGTCCAGACACCTGGAGGGGCTCAGGGTGGGACCGGCAGCCTTCCCCAGCCCCAGACGCCCACCCCTCACACTGCCTGGAGGTTGGGCTCCTAACCTGGGGCGGGTGGGCCTCCTCAGTTCTGTGCGTGTAGTGTGTGTACGGGTGTACTTGCGCCTGTGTGTGCACTTCGGCGTGTGTGTATATGAACACAGACCCAGAAAGTCTCCAGGTTCCCCCTGCCCCCTGTTTGGGAAGCTGTGGAGGGCTGTGGTTGGTGAGGCTGGGGCAGGGGAGAGGAGGCAGAGCTGGGGTTGGGTTGACCAGCGGGAGGCCCCAGCGCTGCTGGCAGGGTGGGTGTAGCAGAGCACCCATGCTGTGGCCATCCTGCTGGCCCCTAGGACTACTGTGGTCAGAACTCCACCGGCTCCTTCAGCATCATCACCGAGAACGTGCCCTGCGGCACCACCGGCGTCACCTGCTCCAAGGCCATCAAGATCTTCATAGGCGTAAGCACCAGCTCCCCGGGACTGGGGACGCCTCGGGACCTCCCCCGGGACTCCTTGGAACCCTCCCCTGGGATGTCTCGGGACCCTCCCCCAGGTCTCCCCGGGACTGGGTCGCCTCGGGACCTCCCCCGGGACTCCTCGAGACCCTCCCTCGGGACTCCTTGGGACCCTCCCCCGGGATGCCTCGGGGACCCTCCCCCAGGACTCCTCGGGACCCTCCCCCGGGACTCCTCGAGACCCTCCCCCGGGATGCCTCGGGGACCCTCGGACGTGGGCAGTGGCCATCCTCTCTGGTGGACAGGGCACGGAGCTGAAGCTGGAGGACAGGCACCGGGTGGTGAAGCAGCTGGAGGAGGGCCGCCACGTGGCCTTCCTCACACGGGAAGTGGGCCAGTACCTGGTAGTGGAGGCCAGCACCGGCATCATCCTCATCTGGGACAAGAAGACCACGCTCTTCATCAGGCTGGCTCCATCCTACAGGGTGGGCGTCCGGCAGGGTGCAGCGCTGCCCCCTCCCCTGCCCGCCTCCTATCCCGCCCGCCCCCTCCCCCTGCCTCCCCCTCCCCCTGTCCCCCCCCTCCCCCTCCCACCCCAAGCCTGGGACTAGCTGGGTCGCCTCCAGCAGGGTCCAGCGCTGCCCTCTCCCCCTCCGTCCCTCTCCCCCCTGCCTCCCCCTCCCCCTGTCCCCCCTTCCCCCTACCCCCCCACTCCCCCCCCCCCCCCCCCGCACTCCAAGCTTGGGACTAGCTGGCTCGCCTCCCGCAGGGCGCGGTATGCGGCCTGTGCGGGAACTTCGACGGCCGCACCAACAACGACTTCACCACGCGGGACCACATGGTGGTGAGCAGCGAGCTGGACTTCGGGAACAGCTGGAAGGAGGCTTCCACCTGCCCGGATGTAAGCAGCACCCCGGACCCCTGCAGCGCGAACCCACACCGCCGCTCCTGGGCCCAGAAGCAGTGCAGCATCATCAAGAGCGGAGTGTTCAGCGGGTGCCACAGCAAGGTGGGCGGGGCGTGGGCTGGGCGTGGCCAAGACAGGTGGGTGGGGCGCGGGAGTGGGCGTGGCCAAGACAGGTGGGCGGGGTGTGGGAGTGGGTGGGGCCAAGACAGGTGGGCGGGGTGTGGGAGTGGGCGTGGTCAAGGCGTGGCCATGGCACACAGGCCAGTAGAGGCCTCCTGTGGCTGAGGACCCAGGTCAGGCAAGGCCCAGCCTGCCCATGGCCAGTGAGCCTGTCTGTGGCCCGGGGAAGGAGGGCTGCAGCTGGCACCTTGGGCTATGCTGCTATTGGTCCCAGGGTCCTCTCCACGTGTGCCAGGGTGGGGTCACCGGCTGCATCCCCATGGGGTGCTAGTCCCCGAGCTTCAACGCTGCACCCCTCGCTCTTCCCTCCCTCCCTCGGAGATCCCTGGCTGGTCCCCAGCCTCCCCTACCTTTCCTGGCTCACACGTTCACCCGAGGGAGAAAGGATATAACCCACGAGGGTATGGGCCAGGGGAGGTGTGATTTTAGGATTGCCGTTTACAGCGGAGGCATGGAGGTCCCCCGGGGTGGAGAGGGCAGCCACGGCTGTGCATGGGAGCCACAGGGCCTCTCTGGGCCCTGGTTAGCCACACGGGGCCCGGGGTAGGGGCAGGTCTAGGGGACTGCATCCCGAGCTCCAGGGCCTGCGGGGAGGAGTCCTGGCTGGGGGCGGCAGCGTGGCCCCGGGCGGCAGCGTGGCCCCGGGCGGCAGCGTGGCCTGGCCCCGGGTGGTGGCGTGGGCCCTGGGCAGCAGCGTGGCCCCGGGCGGCAGCGTGGGCCCTGGGCGGCAGCGTGGCCCCGGGCGGCAGCGTGGGCCCTGGGCGGCAGCGTGGCCCCGGGCGGCGGCCTGGCCCCGGGCGGTGGCGCGGGCCCTGGGCAGCAGCGTGGCCCCGGGCGGCAGCCTGACCCCGGGCGGCAGCATGGCCCCGGGCGGCGGCCTGGCCCCGGGCGGCGGCGTGGCCCCGGGCAGCAGCCTGACCCCGGCGGTGGCGTGGGCCCAGACACACTCGAGTCCGTCCCCCAGGTGGACCCCACTGTCTTCTATGAGGCGTGCGTGCACGACTCCTGCTCCTGCGACTCAGGCGGGGACTGCGATTGCTTCTGCTCGGCCGTGGCCTCCTACGCCCAGGAGTGCACCAAGGCTGAGGCCTGCGTCTTCTGGAGGACGCCAGACCTGTGCCGTGAGTGCCGGGCCGGGCTGAGGCGGAGGGAGGCCCGGGGTCTGCTACAGAGGGCCCCCCCCCCCCATGCAGGGATGGCGCCGGCCCTCAGCTGGCCCCGGCCCCGCTCCCCATCATCTCAGCACCCGCCGGTCCCCTCGGGCCTGACTCTGCCCCCTTCCCCTCCCGCACCAGCCATCTTCTGCGATTACTACAACCCCCCGGACGAGTGTGAGTGGCACTATGAGCCGTGTGGGAACCGCAGCTTCGAGACCTGCAGGACCATCAACGGCATCCACTCCAACATCTCTGTGTCCTACTTGGAGGGTGAGCGGCCGGCTCTGGGGACACCGGTGCCTCACTGGCCTCTGCGGCGGGGCCAAGGGGTCACTTGGAGAGGGGTCTGCGATGGACAAAGGTGGACCAAGCCCACCTTGCTGTGGAAGCAGCCCCCTGGGCAGGGGCCTGGCTTCCAAGCTGGGCCTGCCTGTGCGGGACAGGGGCAGAGAAGCCGATGCCGTCAGAGTGGTGTGCGGAGGGCGGGGGGGGGGGGGATGGGGGGTCGGGGAGGGGGGACGGCGGGGGCAGACTGCTGGGGTCAGGCAGCGCAGGACGCCCCGGGGACACACACAGGCCCTTGTGCTCCTGACCCCTGGGCCTCCCGGAGCACCAGCCCCAGGAGAAGGGCCTGCTGGCGTGGGGCCTGGGGTGTCCTGTGGGGAAGGGCCTGCTGGCGTGGGGCCGTGGGCTGAGCCTGCTCCTCCCCATGCCCGCCAGGCTGCTACCCCCGGTGCCCGCAGGACAGACCCATCTACGATGAGGAGCTGAAGAAATGTGTCACCGGGGACCAGTGTGGCTGCTACATCGAGGACACCCACTACCCACCCGGAGCCCCCATTCCCAGCGGGGACATCTGCATGTCCTGGTATGTGAGCCGGGGCCCGGGGGAGGCTCTGCGCACGCACACACGCACACACACGTGCAGACACAGCAGAGTCTACACACAGGCATGAGGACCAGCCACACATACATGCACAGCAACATGCTACCTCCCCATGCAACGTGCATATGGGAAACCTACCCACAGGCATACACACCATATATGGTAACCTGTGCAACACACATGTAACCAGTGTACATGCACACAAAGCACAACATACCACATATACATACCAAGCACAGCACACACAGCAATACACATACAACACACATGTGACCTATACACCTAACCTGACCCACACACGTGTGTACAGCATACACATGTATATACCACACACATGTGCCCTACACAACACGCACAGAGGCCAGGTCACACTAAGGTGCGTTCAGTGCACATGCTTACAGAAACTCGAGCGTGGAGTTCCAGTCCTTCTCTTTCTCTTTTTCCTTCCTTCCTTCCTTCCTTCCTTCCTTCCTTCCCTCCCTCCCTCCCTCCCTCCCTCCCTCCCTCCCTCCCTCCCTCCCTCCCTCCTTTCTTTTCTTTTCCCATCCCTCCCTCCTTCTCTCTCTCTCTCTTTTCACCCGCCCTACCCCTCAGTATCAGGAGGTCCCAGGCGCTCTACCACTTGAGTCACACCTCCAGCCTGGCTTTTTGCTGATTATTATGGACATGGAGGTTCACAGACTTCTCTGTCTGGGCTGGCTGTGATTTGTAGTTCTCCACACCTCAGGGTCCTGAGCAGCTAGGATTATAGGCATGAGCCACCAGAGCCGGGCTGCCAGTCCCTCTCCCTGGGGGCAAGGAGGCCTTCCGGTCCCCTCCCGCCCTCGGGCCCCGCTTTCCCTCACCCCACCTGTCCCCTGTCGAGGCGTGGCAGGGAGGGTGCAGGAAGGACTGGCAGCTGTTGTGTTTTCCTTGCAGCACGTGCACAGATTCCTCACAAATCACCTGCCAGATAGACGAAGGTGAGGGGCGAGCCGTGAGCTGGCAGGAGGGGACCCCGGCCCAGAAGCCGCACGGCACCCGCTCTCAGCCCAGGGGCCCGGCCTGGCCTCTTGCGGGGGCTTCCCCCCCAGGCCCTGCCCCCGGGCCTGGGGAATCTTCTGGGCTCAGACCTGAGTGCTCAGCTCACTTGATTCTGTCCCTTCTTGTGGGAGGAGCCGGCCGGCCTGTGGCCCAGCTCCTGCGTGGCTGATGAGACCTTCCTTCCTGCGTGGGGGATGCTGGGACACTTGGCTGCGGGTGGCCCGCGGGGTCCTGCGGTGTTGACGGTCAGCTTCCCTTCCCTCCCAGGAAAAATTGTCAACCAGACCCAGGACGGCGTGTTCTGCTTCTTGGACATCTGTGGCCCCAACGGAACAGTGGAGCACCACTTCAACATCTGTAACTCCTCCACCAGACCACCCTCGTCCACGCCAACCACCGCGGTCACCACGTCCTTCACCACCCCCACGCCCCTCACCACCACCACCCCCACCTCAACCCCCCGGACAGGTGAGCGGGGCGGCAGAGGGATGTCCATACCCCCCTCCACATTTGCTCTGGAGGAGACCGCAGGGGACAGGCTGCCAGCAGTGTGAGCCACGGGCAGAGGGCGCCTTTAAGGTATGTTTGAAGCTGCACGATGACATCTTCTTCTCGTCTTTCTCTTGCAGTGCCGTCGACTCCATGTAAGTGATGCTGGCTGCGTGATGGTCAGAGGGGCAGGAGAGGGAGGTCGTGGAGGTCATGAGTGTGTCAGGACTGCCAACGGGGACCGGGTGGGGGGGGCAAGTGTGCAAGAGCAGAGGAAAAGCCCTCCTTCCACACTCCTCCTTCCTGGAACGGGCCCTTTTGGTTTTTTATTTTTCATTTACTTATTTACATTTTCTGTGTCAGAACTGGGGCTTGGACTCATGGCCTTGTTCTTTCTTTCTTTCTTTCTTTCTTTCTTTCTTTCTTTCTTTCTTTCTTTCTTTCTTTCTTTCTTTCTTTCTTTCTTTCTTTCTTGGTCCCCACTGAACTCTGGGCCTGGGCACTGTCCCTCAGCTCTTCAGCTCAAGGCGAGCCCTCTACCACAGCGCCACTTCCGGCTTTTTCTGCTTATGTGGTGCTGAGGCATCAAACCTAGGGCCTCATGCATGGGAGGCAAGCACTCTACCACTGAGCCACCTTCCCAGCCCCAGCCTTGTAGTTTCATTTGGCTTTGTCACTTGAGGCTGGTGCTCTACCACTTGAGCCACAGCTTCACTTCTGTGAAGCTTTTTGGTGGTCAATGGGAGATAAGAGTCTCATGGATTCTCTGCCGGGACTTCTCTGATGGATTTCTCTCTTGGCTTCAAAATGAGATCCTCAGAACTTAGTCTCCTGAGTAGCTGGGATTACAGGCGTGAGCCACCAGTGATCAGCCCCTTTTAACTTTTTGGGCCAGCTGAGGAGACTGGCAATCTGGTAGCCACACCACACGTGGCTCTGCGCGGCCCCTTCCGTCCCTAGGCTGCAAAACAAGACTGTAAGGGATGCCCAGCCCTAAGCTCTGACTCCACACATAGTCCTTGGGTGAGGCAGGGGTGGTGGCAGCCTCACTGGGTTGGTCATGGAGGTCCGGAGTCCTCTAAACCTGCAGGTGCCTCTCCCAGCCACACATGACCAAGACTGGTTTGGTTTCTCTAGACTGCTGCCTCTGGTCTGACTGGGTCAACGAGGACCACCCCGAGAGCGGGAGCGATGGCGGCGACCACGAGACATTCACAAAGATCTGCCCCACTCCTCCTGAAGACATCGAGTGCAGGTCAGCCGCGGAGCCCCACCTCAGCTGGAAGGACGTGGGGCAGAAGGTGTACTGCAACGTCACACATGGCTTTGCTTGTGAGAATGAAGAGCAGTTAGAAACACCATTTAATCTCTGTTATGATTACGAGATGCGAGTCAAGTGTTGCTGGCCAGAAGAAGTCTGTGTGACGAGCACCTCACCTACAACCGTGACCACTAGAACCACCACCACAACAACCACCACCACATCCACCACCCCACCAACATCCACCCCACCAACCCCCCCGACTTCACCAACACCCACCACCCCACCAACCTCCACATCCACCACTTCACCAACACCAACGCCAACACCTACCACCCTACCAACCTCCACATCCACCACTTCACCAACACCCACCACCCCACCAACCTCCACATCCACCACTGCACCAACACCCACCACCCCACCAACCTCCACATCCACCACTGCACCAACACCAACGCCAACACCCACCACCCCACCAACCTCCACATCCACCACTTCACCAACACCAACACCAACACCCACCACCCCACCAACCTCCACATCCACCACTTCACCAACACCAACACCAACACCCACCACCCCACCAACCTCCACATCCACCACCTCACCAACACCCACAGCCACCACCGCTCAGACAACATGTGTGCCAGACTGCAAATGGACTGGCTGGTGGGACTCCGGTAAACTGTACCCTAATGGGACAGGTGACTTTGAATTGGTTGGAAATGTCTGTGAAGGCTGGGCACTGAACATCTCCTGCAGAGCTGTGCCTTACCCCAGCACTCCAATTGAACAACTCGGACAAACAGTGGTATGTGATCCCTCTATTGGGCTGGTGTGCAAAAATGAGGACCAGGAGATAAGTGAGGCTTTCCCATTCCGCCATTGTCTTAACTATGAGATCAATGTCTATTGCTGTGAGTGTGCTGTTCCCACCTCAACCAGCACCTGGACACCAACCACCACATCCACCACTTCAACACCAACACCCACACCCACCACCTCACCAACCTCCACATCCACCACCTCTCCCACCCCACCAACCACCACTCCACCAACCTCCACATCCACCACTTCAACACCAACACCAACACCTACCACCCCACCAACCTCCACATCCACTACTTCAACACCAACACCTACCACTCCACCAACCTCCACATCCAACACTTCACCAACACCTACCACCCCACCAACATCCATATCCACCACTTCAACACCAACACCAACACCTACCACCCCACCAACATCCACATCCACTACTTCAACACCAACACCTACCACTCCACCAACATCCACATCCACTACTTCAACACCAACACCTACCACCCCACCAACATCCACATCCACCACTTCTCCCACCCCACCAACCACCACCCCACCAACATCCACATCCACCCCTTCAACACCAACACCAACACCAACAACTACCACTCCACCAACCTCCACATCCTCCACTTCAACACCAACACCTACCACTCCACCAACCTCCACATCCACCACCTCAACACCAACACCTACCACTCCACCAACCTCTACATCCACCACTTCCCCAACACCAACACCAACACCTACCACTCCACCAACCTCCACATCCATTACTTCAACACCAACACCTACCACCCCACCAACCTCTACATCCACCACTTCAACACCAACACCAACACCTACCACCCCACCAACCTCTACATCCACCACTTCCCCAACACCTACCATTCCACCAACCTCGACATCCACCACTTCCCCAACACCAACACCCACCACCCCTGAAACAACCACATCTACCACTTCCCCAACACCAACACCTACCACCCCACCAACCTCCACATCCACCACTTCCCCAACACCAACACCAACACCTACCACCCCACCAACCTCCACATCTACTACTTCCCCAACACCAACACCAACACATACCACCCCACCAACCTCCACATCCATCAGTTCACCAACACCTACCACCCCACCAACCTCCACATCCACCACTTCTCCAATGCCAACACCTACCACCCCACCAACCTCCACATCCACCACTTCACCAACACCAACACCAACACCTACTACCCCACCAACCTCCACATCTACTACTTCTCCAACACCAACATCCACCATCCCTGAAACGATCACATCCACCACTCCCCCAACACCAACACCAACACCTACCACCCCACCAACCTCCACATCTACTACTTCTCCAACACCAACACCCACAGTACCTGAAACGACCACATCCACCACTTCCCCAACACCAACACCAACACCAACACCTACCACCCCACCAACCTCCACATCTACCACTTCACCACCACCAACGCCAACACCTACCACCCCACCAACCTCCACATCCACCACTTCACCAATACCAACACCAACACCTACCACCCCACCAACGTCTACCTCCACCACTTCACCAACACCAACACCAACACCTACCACCCCACCAACCTCTACATCCACCACTTCACCAACACCAACACCAACACCCATGACCCCACCAACCTCCACATCCACTACTTCACCAACACCTACCACCCCACCAACCTCCACATCCACCACTTCACCAACACCAACGCCAACACCTACTACCCCACCAACCTCCACATCCACCACCTCATCAACACCAACAACAACACCCACCACCCCACCAACCTCCACATCCACCACTTCACCAACACCAACGCCAACACCCACCACCCCACCAACATCCACATCCACCACTTCACCAATACCAACACCAACACCCACCACCCCACCAACCTCCACATCCACCACTACACCAACACCAACACCAACACCCACCACCCCACCAACCTCCACATCCACCACTGCACCAACACCAACACCAACACCCACCACCCCACCAACCTCCACATCCACCACTTCACCAACACCCACAGCCACCACCCCACCAACCTCCACATCCACCACTTCACCAACACCTACCACCCCACCAACCTCCACATCCACCACTTCTCCAATGCCAACACCTACCACCCCACCAACCTCCACATCCACCACTACACCAACACCAACACCAACACCTACCACTCCACCAACCTCCACATCTACCACTTCACCAACACCCACAGCCACCACCGCTCAGACAACATGTGTGCCAGACTGCAAATGGACTGGCTGGTGGGACTCCGGTAAACTGTACCCTAATGGGACAGGTGACTTTGAATTGGTTGGAAATGTCTGTGAAGGCTGGGCACTGAACATCTCCTGCAGAGCTGTGCCTTACCCCAGCACTCCAATTGAACAACTCGGACAAACAGTGGTATGTGATCCCTCTATTGGGCTGGTGTGCAAAAATGAGGACCAGGAGATAAGTGAGGCTTTCCCATTCCGCCATTGTCTTAACTATGAGATCAATGTCTATTGCTGTGAGTGTGCTGTTCCCACCTCAACCAGCACCTGGACACCAACCACCACATCCACCACTTCAACACCAACACCCACACCCACCACCTCACCAACCTCCACATCCACCACCTCTCCCACCCCACCAACCACCACTCCACCAACCTCCACATCCACCACTTCAACACCAACACCAACACCTACCACCCCACCAACCTCCACATCCACTACTTCAACACCAACACCTACCACCCCACCAACATCCACATCCAGCACTTCAACACCAACACCAACACCAACACCTACCACCCCACCAACATCCACATCCACTACTTCAACACCAACACCTACCACCCCACCAACCTCCACATCCACCACCTCAACACCAACACCTACCACTCCACCAACCTCAACATCCACCACCTCTCCCACCCCACCAACCACCACTCCACCAACCTCCACATCCACCACTTCAACACCAACACCAACACCTACCACCCCACCAACCTCCACATCCACCACTTCAACACCAACACCTACCACCCCACCAACATCCACATCCACCACTTCTCCCACCCCACCAACCACCACCCCACCAACATCCACATCCACCACTTCAACACCAACACCAACACCAACAACTACCACTCCAGCAACCTCCACATCTTCCACTTCAACACCAACACCTACCACTCCACCAACCTCCACATCCACCACTTCAACACCAACACCAACACCTACTACTCCACCAACCTCCACATCCACCACCTCTCCCACCCCACCAACCACCACTCCACCAACCTCCACATCCACCACTTCAACACCAACACCAACACCAACACCTACCACCCCACCAACCTCCACATCCACTACTTCAACACCAACACCTACCACCCCACCAACATCCACATCCACCACTTCTCCCACCCCACCAACCACCACCCCACCAACATCCACCACTTCAACACCAATACCAACACCAACAACTACCACTCCACCAACCTCCACATCTTCCACTTCAACACCAACACCTACCACTCCACCAACCTCCACTTCCACTACTTCCCCAACACCAACACCAACACCTACCACTCCACCAACCTCCACATCCACCACTTCTCCCACCCCACCAACCACCACCCCACCAACATCCACATCCACCACTTCAACACCAACACCAACACCAACACCTACCACTCCACCAACCTCCACATCCACCACTTCCCCAACCCCAACACCAACACCCACCACTACACCAACCTCCACATCCACCACCTCACCAACACCAACACCAACACCCAGCACCCCTGAAACGACCACATCCACCACTTCCCCAACACCAACACCAACACCTACCACCCCACCAACCTCCACATCCACCACTTCACCAATACCAACACCAACACCTACCACTCCACCAACCTCCACATCCACAACTTCACCAATACCAACACCAACACCTTCCACTCCACCAACCTCCACATCCACCACTTCTCCCACCCCACCAACCACCACCCCACCAACATCCACATCCACCACTTCAACACCAACACCAACACCAACACCTACCACTCCACCAACCTCTACATCCACCACTTCCCCAACACCAACACCAACACCTACCACCCCACCAACCTCCACATCCACCACCTCACCAACACCAACACCAACACCCAGCACCCCTGAAACGACCACATCCACCACTTCCCCAACACCAACACCAACACCTACCACCCCACCAACCTCCACATCCACCACTTCACCAATACCAACACCAACACCTACCACTCCACCAACCTCCACATCCACAACTTCACCAATACCAACACCAACACCTTCCACTCCACCAACCTCCACATCCACCACTTCACCAACACCAACACCTACCACTCCACCAACCTCCACATCCACAACTTCCCCAACACCAACACCAACACCCACCACCCCACCAACCTCCACATCCACCACTTCATCAACACCAACACCTACCACCCCACCAACCTCCACATCGACCACTTCACTAACACCAACACCAACTCCTACCACTCCACCAACCTCCACATCCACCACTTCAACACCAACACCAACACCAACTACCACTCCACCAACCTCCACATCCACCACTTCAACACCAACACCTACCACTCCACCAACCTCCACATCCACCACCTCAGCACCAACACCTACCACTCCACCAACCTCTACATCCACCACTTCCCCAACACCAACACCAACACCTACCACCCCACCAACCTCCACATCCACCACTTCAACACCAACACCTACCACTCCACCAACATCCACATCCACCACTTCAACACCAACACCAACACCAACAACTACCACTCCACCAACCTCCACATCCACCACTTCAACACCAACACCTACCACCCCACCAACCTCCACATTCACCACTTCAACACCAACACCTACCACCCCACCAACATCCACATCCACCATTTCAACACCAACACCAACACCAACAACTACCACTCCACCAACCTCCACATCCACCACTTCAACACCAACACCTACCACTCCACCAACCTCTACATCCACCACTTCCCCAACACCAACACCAACACCTACCACCCCACCAACCTCCATATCCACCACTTCAACACCAACACCTACCACCCCACCAACCTCCACATCCACCACTTCAACACCAACATCTACCACTCCACCAACCTCTACATCCACCACTTCCCCAACACCAACACCAACACATACCACCCCACCAACCTCCACATCCACCACTTCAACACCAACACCTACCACCCCACCAACCTCCACATCCACCACTTCAACACCAACACCTACCACCCCACCAACCTCCACATCCACCACTTCAACACCAACACCTACCACCCCACCAATATCCACATCCACCATTTCAACACCAACACCAACAACTACCACCCCACCAACCTCCACATCCACCACTTCAACACCAACACCTACCACTCCACCAACCTCTATATCCACCACTTCCCCAACACCAACACCAACACCTACCACCCCACCAACATCCACATCCACCACTTCAACACCAACACCAACACCAACACCTACCACCCCACCAACCTCCACATCCACCACTTCAACACCAACACCTACCACCCCATCAACCTCCACATCCACCACTTCAACACCAACACCTACCACCCCACCAACCTCCACATCCATCACTTCACCAACACCAACACCAACACCTACCACCCCACCAACCTCCACATCCACCACTACACAAACACCCACCACCCCATCAACCTCCACATCCTCAACTTCTGCAACACCAACACCCACCGTCCCTGAAACAACCACCGTCACCACTTCTCCAACACCAAGAACTACGACTCCGCCAACCTCCACACCTTCCACCCCAAAGACTGCAACTCTGACCTCTCCCACCAGTACGGCCACCACCACAGGTAAGCTACCCCACCCACCCACCCGTATATCTCTGCCACTGTATGGTGCCAGCTCACCGTGTGCCACCGCAGAGACCCTGTGACCACCACAGGGACACCTGGGTCACTGTTGGGGCAGCACACTCTGCGTGGGGAGTCTGGGTCCCCCCGCAGCTGCCACCCCGGCCCCTCCAGGTCAGTGGACAGGAGCCACTGCCGTTCCTCCTTGCCCGGGAGAGCTGCGGTTCTGCCAGGGAGCTCTGTGTCCCGAGGACCTGACCCGCAGCTCAGCACTTTCTACCTGGTGCCCCTGCTTTGCCCAGGGTGGCTTGGGGTGGGCTCTGTGGCCCCCTGCCCTCTGAGCCTGGCCTGTGGGCAGAGAGTGGCAGTCCCAGCTTCCACGATGGGGGGCTTTGCTTGGGCACAGCCCGTCTCTGTCAGGGAAGCCTGGGCTGTGTGGGGCGGGAGGGGTGGGGCAGCCTCCCCGCCCCGTGCCCTCCTCTCTGGGCCTGGCAATGGAGGCCTCTCCGAGGGTAGCCTGTTGCTCTCGGGTGGCCCAGACACCCATTGCGGGCCTCAGGTCTGGCCAGCATGTTCTGGGGCTTCCCAGAGCCCTGGCTTCTCGTCTGTGACCATGTGTGTGTCTGAGAAGCGGACATGAGGCCTTGTGGCCTCCGGTGCCCTTCCCCCAGCCAGCTGTGGCCCGGCCTGCTGCTCAGCTCCGGGTTTTACTGGTGAGCGCTGTTTTCACAGGCACACCCTCCTCCAAGACCACCCCCACCGGCGGGACCCCGACTGAGTCGTCCGCATCCACCCCCAGACCACCCTCGACAGCCTCTCCCCCTCCGAGCACCCCGCGGACCACCAGCACCTCGGTCTTCTCTACAGGCACGGTCAGCCCGCTCACCTCTCCCAGCACCAGCTGGGTCAGCCGCTCCACGCAGATCACCTGCTGCGTCCTGGATGACATGTTCTATGGCCCAGGTACCCGTGGCGGGCGGGGCTGATGCTCGGGCCACCGGCCGCTTCTTGTCCTGGCGGATGACCACCAGGGCGAGGTCCAAGCTAGGAGTTTGCAGGCGTACGGGTGGGTGACCCAGCTCACCCCTGCCGGGCAGGCCGAGGCGCCAGCCAGCATAAAGCCAAGAGCGCTGCGTGGTGGCCCCTTTCCAATGCCTCTGGGCCCGACGGCCACCGACGCGTGGCCTGGGCACTAACACGCGTGACAGCCGCCGCGTGAGTCCCCCTGCCCGTGGCCTCCGCTGCGGAGGGGTGAGCACCGGTTTTCCCCTTCCCTTGCAGGAGAGGTGATCTATAACAAAACCTCCGGCGGCAACTGCTATCATGTGAACTGCACCACCGACTGCATAGTCTACACGACTGTCTGGCCCTGCCCGTCCACCCCCGTGCCCCCCTCCACCCCCCCCACCAGCACCCCCACCCCCACCTCCTCCACCACCACCAGCCCCACCCCTACCCCCTCCACCACCACCAGCCCCAGCACGCCGCCGCCCCCAGACTGCCCAGACTTCGATCCTCCGAGACAGGTCAGTGTGGCTGTCTGTGTGTGAGTTCCTCTCGTCGGCACTGGGTGGGTTCTCATTCTGGCATTCACGGCCCGGGGCGCTGTCTTCCCGTCCTGCAAGATGCCCTGTCCCACCCACCCTCACTCCATCTCTAGCCGGGCGGAGACTTGCAGCAATGCCCTTCTTCGGGGTGCCGGGGAGACAGCTGCGGCCTCGCGGGGCCTCGCGCTCTGTGGCGGGTGCTGCACCACTTGAGCTGCTCCTTGGGGTGCCCCACCTTGCTGTGGTCAGGTGCTGGCGCTTACGACCCGAGCAGGTGCCCTGGGCCTCCAGCCGAGAGCGTGGCGCAGCCCTAGCGGACGCGGCTGCACACCCTCCCCGCCTCCTGCCCTCATCCCGGCTGACCGTGGCCCCCGCACCCACAGGTGAACGAGACCTGGTGGTTGTGCGAATGCTACATGGCCACGTGCAAGTACAACAACACGGTGGAGATCGAGAAGGTGGAGTGTGATCCCCCGCCCAAGCCCACATGCTCCAACGGTCTGCCGCCGGTGCGCGTGGAGGACCCTGACCGCTGCTGCTGGCACTGGGAGTGCGACTGTAAGCCCACGGCCCCTCCCCCGGGGGGTGCAGGCCCCGCGGGCCCCCCGCCCCTCCACCAGGGGGCGCAGGCCGCCATCTGGGAGCAGAAGGCCCCCCGCCCCTCCCCCAGGGGGCGCAGGCTGCCATCTGGGAGCAGAAGGCCCACAGGTTCCTCGGGTATAGACCCGGTGGCCGGGCTCCTGTGGAGGGCTGAGCCCATGGACCAGGGCTTTCGTGTCCTCCCCGGCTCCCCCAGACCCCGCCTGACTGATGGGGCCGGCGCCTCCCCAGGCTGAGGGGGGATGGTCCTCTCTGGGCCTCAAGCCCGGGCCCTGAAGGCCCAGTGCCAGGCCCTGGCTTGCAGAAGGGGCTGCCAGGCACTGAATGGGAAGACAGTTTGGGGCCAGGCCCACTCCAGCCCAGAAGCTGCCTCTCCCAACAGGAGCTGGGCTTCGCTGCCTGCTCCGTTCCCACCAGTTCTTCCAGCCTGTCTCTGGACTCCTGAGCTGAGCTGCTCAGTCCCTGCTGCACCCGAGTGGCACCATCTCCCTGGACTCTCCACAGGTTACTGCACCGGCTGGGGTGACCCGCACTACATGACCTTCGACGGCTTGTACTACAGCTACCAGGGCAACTGTACCTACGTGCTGGTGGAGGAGATCTCCCCCACCGTGGACAACTTCGGGGTGTACATCGACAACTACCACTGTGACGTCAACGACAAGGTGTCCTGTCCCCGCACGCTCATTGTGAGGCACGAGACCCAGGAGGTGCTCATCAAGACCACGCAGATGACGCCCATAAAGATGCAGGTACGTGGGGGCCGCAGGGCCCGCGGGCTCGCCCTGGGGCGTGCCGGAGCCGCGGCCCCGGGCCGCGTCCACCCCTTCCCGATGGAAGCCCTACCGCCCGCGTTGGGCCCCAGCTTCGCTGGGCTCCCCGCCGCAGCGGGCAGCCCCAGGTGCCGGTGAGAGGCCCAGTGTGGCCGGGCACCAGCGCCCGCCCAGGGGCCTCCCTGACCCGGGGTGTCGCTGCAGGTGCAGGTCAACAAGCAGGCCGTGGCGTTGCCCTTCAAGAAGTACGGGGTGCAGGTGTATGAGTCCGGCATCAACTTCATGGTGAACATCTCCAGGCTGGGCGCGCTCATCTCCTACAATGGCCTGTCCTTCTCCATCAGGCTGCCCTACCAGCTGTTTGGCAACAACACCAAGGGCCAGTGCGGTGAGCCCCGGGGCCCCGGGGCCCCCCTTCCGGTACCCGCACTAGAAGGGTGGGGCTAGGCGTGAGCACCGGCCGGCCTGCCCCGAGCCGCCCTCTCCTCCGTGGTGGCTTTGGCCCCTGAGGTTTCCCGGCCTCTGTCCTCAGCCAGGCGCCTGGCGGAAGAAGGGGCGGGGCCGGGGCGTGTCCAGGCCGGGGCGGACAGGACTGACCCTTCTCCCCGCACGCAGGCACCTGCACCAACAACACCGCAGACGACTGCATGCTGCCCAGTGGGGAGGTCATCTCCGACTGCGAGCTGGCCGCCGACCAGTGGTTGGTGAACGACCCCTCCAAGCCACACTGTCCCCACGCGGGCTCAACCACCGCGCGCCCCTCCACCACCACTTCGGGACTCAAAACGCCCCGGCCCAAGGACTGCCCCGGCTCTCCGCTCTGCCAGCTCATCAAGGACAGGTGACCCGCTGGGTCTGCCAGCGCACCCAGCACGGGACAGCTGCGGACCTCACCCCTCCCCTGCCCCGCGTCCTGAGCCTCCCCCTCCCCCTCCCCCTCCCCTGACCCCTCCCCTCCCCCTCCCCTGCCCTGTGTCCTGAGCCTCCCCCTCCCCCTCCCCCTCCCCTGCCCCTCCCCTCCTCCTGCCCTGCCCTGTGTCCTGAGCCTCCCCCTCCCCCTCCCCTCCCCCTCCTCCTCCCCTGCCCCCTCCCCTCCCCCTCCCCTGCCCCGTGTCCTGAGCCTCCCCCTCCCCCTCCCCTGCCCCCTCCCCTCCCCCTCCCTCCCCCTCCCCTGCCCCGCGTCCTGACCCTCCCCCTCCCCCTCCCTTGCCCCTCGTCCTGAGCCTCCCCCTCCCCCTCCCCTGCCCCCCTTCCCTCCCCCTGCCCTGCCCTGTGTCCTGAGCCTCCCCCTCCCCCTCCCCTGCCCCTCCCCTGCCCCCTCCCTCCCTCTCCCCTGCCCCGCGTTCTGACCCTCCCCCTCCCCCTCCCCTGCCCCTCGTCCTGAGCCTCCCCCTCCCCCTCCCCTGCCCCCCTTCCCTCCCCCTGCCCTGCCCTGTGTCCTGAGCCTCCCCCTCCCCCTCCCCTGCCCCCTCCCTCCCCCTCCCCTGCCCCGCGTTCTGACCCTCCCCCTCCCCTGCCCCTCGTCCTGAACTTCCCCCTCCCCCTCCCCTGCCTCCTCCCCTCCCCCTCCCCTGCCCCCTCCCCTCCCCCGCCCTGCCCCGTGTCCTGAGCCTTTCCCTCCCCCTCCCCTGCCCCCTCCCTCCCCCTCCCCTGCCCCGTCCTGAGCCTCAGGAGCTCTCGGGAGGAGGTGTGGGGCGTGCAGGGTGTGGGGAGGCGGTGCGGGGAGCCTGGCTGGCCTGTGACCCGTGCCTGTCCCTCCCCTCTGCAGCCTGTTTGCGCCCTGCCACGCTGTGGTGCCCCCCCAGCACTACTACGAGGCCTGCGTCTTTGACAGCTGCTTTGTGCCCCGTGGAGGCCTGGAGTGCGCCAGCGTGCAGATCTATGCGGCCCTCTGTGCACAGGAGGGCATCTGCATCCCCTGGCGGAACCACACCGGCGGGGCCTGCCGTGAGTGCCCATTGTCCGCCGGCTCCCCGCCCGCTCCCCGCCCGCTCCCCGCCCGGGCCTCGGCCTGGGCCCTGGGATGGGCCAAGCCCATCCTGAAGAGAGGGTCAGGCGGTTGGGGCCTCAGGGTGGACAGCCCAGAGCCGCGGTGCTGGGCTGCTGGAACTCGGCCAGCCTCGGCCCCCCTCAGACGCCCCCCTGCCTCCGACAGTCGTGGGGGTGGGGCAGGCCGAGGTGGCAGCTGTCCCCCACAGCAGGAGTTGTGTGGGCCCCACAGGGGGACCTGGGCGGCTCTGTCCCGCAAGGCTTTCCTCCTGCCGACTCTCTTCTTCCCACAGCCATGGCGTGCCCGGCTCACAGGGAGTACCAGGCCTGCGGCCCCATGGAAGAACCCACCTGCCAGTCCAGGTATGCGGCTTGAGCACTGGCCAGGAGGGTGCTCCCGGCCCCGCCCGCGGCCTGGGGTCCCCAGCCCACCCACTGGCCACCCACGCGCTTCTTGCGCTTCCCCCTCCAGCCCCATCGAGCAGGAGTCCCCAAGCCTGGTGGAAGGCTGCTTCTGTCCCAAAGGCACCATCAACTACGCCCCTGGCTTTGACGTTTGCGTGAAGACGTGTGGTAGGCCCCCTCCTGCTTCCCCCCTGCGCACGGGCTGGGTGGCGAGGCTGACCCTTGCTCACGGGCTGGGCGGTGGGGCTGACCCTCGCTCATGGGCTGGGCGGCGGGGCTGACCCTCGCTCATGGGCTGGGTGGGGAGGCTGACCCTTGAGGCTGGCCCTCACTCAGGGGCTGGGCGGGGAGGCTGACCCTCGAGGCTGGCCCTCACTCAGGGGCTGGGCGGGGAGGCTGACCCTCGAGGCTGGCCCTCACTCACAGGCTGACCCTCAAGGCTGGCCCTTGCTCCCCAGGCTATGCTAACTGACTTTGTTTCCTCCCTTTCCTAGGCTGCATGGGACCCGACAATGTGCCCAGAGAGGTAGGCATTCTTTTTTTTTTTGGTTGTGGGTCTTGAACTCTGGGCCTGGGCACTGTCCCTGAGCTCTTCAGCTCAAGGCAAATGCTCTACCACTTGAGCCACAGCTCCACTTCTGGTTTTCTGAGTGGTTCATTGGAAATGAGAGTCTCACGGACTTTCCTATTCAGGCTGGCTTTGAACCTTGATCCTCAGATCTCAGCCTCCTGAGTAGCGAGTCATTCTTTATTGTAGTGGGGGGGGAGGGGCGGTGTTCTACAAATCCCGAGCTTTAGAGGGGTGGTGCAGAGTGGACATGAGCAGCGGTGAGCCTCAAGACCGAACAGTGAGTCATTTAAGTTACGCTGTATTCCTCTAGCTTTCCCCCACCATCCACCCATCATCTATCTGACTATCCATCCTCTACCCAGCATTTATCAGTCAATACATTCAATATCTGCCTCTCATCCACCTGTTCACTCGGTGTGTACATGCATCTATCTTCCATCCATCAACTCGTCAGTCTATTGATCCATCCATCCATCCATTCATCCACTATCTACCCATCACCTACTTACTCATCCATCTACTCATCCATCCATTTACACACCTGGTTATTAGTTCATCTGTCCAGACAGTATCCATCCAGACATCATCCACTTATCTACTTAGGCATTCATCTCTCTAATCATCCATCCACCTATCTACAATCCACCCATCCATCATCTATCATCCATCCATCCATCCATCTGCCCATCCATCCATGCTCCATCTATCCATCCATCCATCTAGTCATCCATCCATCCATCTACCCATCTATCTATCCATCCATCCACCTACCCATCCATCCATCCATCCATCCATCCATCCATCCATCCATCCATCCATCCATCCATCCATCCATCTATCCATCCATCTACCTACAGATTCACCCATGTACTCATCCATCCATCAATCCATCAATCCACCCATTTATCTACATATCCAATCCATGTATCCATCCATCCATCCATCCACCCATCTACCTACACATTCACCCATGTACTCATCCATCCATCCATCCATCCACCCATCCACCTACCCATCCATTCATCATCCATTCATCCATCCATCCATCAATCCACTCATCCATCCATGTACCTAACCACCCACCTACCAGTCATATGATGCTCTCTAAGGCTGAGATGACGCCTTGGGCTGCTTTAGCACTGTCTTCTGTATGTGGCCATGGCTGTGTGGCTGATTCTTCAGCTGGATACTGTGGTTGCCATGTGCCAGGCTCATGTTGGCAGATGTGGGTGAGCCTGCACAGTAGTGTGGTACCGTGACCAGAATGAGCAGCTGCAGGTTCCAGAACCTCAGCTGGATACTGTGGTTGCCACGTGCCAGGCTCATGTTGGCAGATGTGGGTGAGCCTGCACAATAGTGTGGTAGTGTGACCAGAATGAGCAGCTGCAGGTTCCAGAACCTCAGCTGGATACTGTGGTTGCCACGTGCCAGGCTCATGTTGGCAGATGTGGGTGAGCCTGCACAATAGTGTGGTAGTGTGACCAGAATAAGCACCTGCAGATTCCAGAACCTGCTCCAGGAGCTTGGGGGGTTGGGGTGGGGAAACTGGGTCCTCCCAAGGGATGCTCACCTGCCACACACTAGAGCTCCGTTGGCCCTGGCTAGCCACGGCTGTCCCGTGGTGTGCCTGGCCCGGCGCCCTCCTCTCTGGGCTCAGCCTCCGCTCTCCCTGCAGTTTGGGGAGCACTTCACATTCGACTGCAAGGACTGCGTCTGCCTGGAGGGGGGGAGAGGCATTGTCTGCCAGCCCCGCGTGTGCAGCCAGAGGGGCGCCTCCCAGTGCACAGAGGATGGCACCTACCTGGTCACCGAGGTCAACCCGGCCGACACCTGCTGCAGCATCTCCTCTTGCAGTAAGGCCGCTCGGGCCGCCAGAGCCCTCCTGGGGCTCCCAGCATCGACCCCCACTGTGGGCTCAGGATGTGCCTGCTGAGCGGGGTGGGCTGAGGCTGGTCAGGCCAGGTGCCTGGACCCACAGACGTCTGGGCAGACTGTGGTGGGGAGCGGAGTCACGACTGTGGGAGTCAGCACCCCAAACCTCCCCCCGCCCCAGGGTGCAACACCAGCCTCTGCCGGGAGGAGCCCCCCGCTTGCCTGCTGGGCTTCGAGGTGAAGAGGAGGGTCGTACCTGGACGGTGCTGTCCAGTCTACTCCTGTGGTAAGCGGGGAGGGCAGGCGGGGCAGCGGGGGCGTGGCCTGCGGCCGGGGGCACCTCATCCGCCCCGAACACCCCCCGGCTGTGGGTCTGCCTCGCGATCCGCGGGGCCGGCGGCTGGTCTCAGGATGGCTTCTGATGACCTGTCCGCTCTTTGTTCCCAAGTGCCCAAGGGAGTGTGTGTGCACCAGAATGCGGAGTACCAGGTGAGCCTTGGGAGGGGTCGCAGAGCTGGGGGACGGGGGCGGGGGGGACGGAGGGCAGATGGCCAAGCCCTGGTCCCTGAGGACAGGGATGCGGTGCTGCATGGGGGCCTGGGAAGGGCGTCCAGCCCCGCCTGCCCGTGCCCACTCCTGCCGTGCCCACAGCCTGGCTCCCCAGTGTACTCCTCCAAGTGTGAGGACTGCGTGTGCACCCATGCCGTGGACAACAGCACCCAGTTCAACGTCATCACCTGCACCCATGTGCCCTGCAACAGCTCCTGTAGCCCTGTAAGCCTCAGCCCTGCCCCACCCTGCCTCAGTCTACCCTGTACGCCACGGCCTCTCCCTCCCCTTCTCTGTCTCACTCTACTCCCTAGCCATGGCCCCCTCCCTCCTCCCTCCCCGCCTCAGTCTACCCTCTTCCCACACCTCGGTACCTTGGCACTTCCCAGACTGTGGCCTCCCCCAAACTGGGGGTTCTGGCAGCCCCCAGGGATGTGTGGGTGCGAGCCAAGCCCCAGAGCTCAGCCTGGCCGTGCCTGTCCACAGGGCTTTGACCTCGTGGACGTCCCTGGTGAGTGCTGCAAGAAGTGCCAGCAGACACAGTGCGTGGTGGAGAGGCCCAATGGCCAGTTCATCATCCTAGAGGTGCGCAGGGGTGGTGGCGTGGGGCCCAGGGTCCTGGGGCCTGCTGGAAGTGCGGGGAGGCCTGGGGGATGGCCGTGCGCTGACCGAGCCCCAGGTCCTGGCGCAGCCGTCCCCAGGGTTCTGAGGCTGCCGTAGCCAACGGCCACAGCTGTGTGTCTGAAAACCAGAGGGAGAGTGGCTTCTCCCTCTTCTGGCAAAAGCTCCCCCTGTGTAACGCTTCGGGCCCGTCTGGGCCGGCCGGGCACACGCCCGCTGCTCGCCGTCACCCGCCCTGCTCTTCCCGCAGCCCGGGGAAACGCAGGCAAACCTGGACGACAAGTGTACCTTCTTCAGCTGCACGAAAATCAACAACCAGCTCACCTCCTTCGTCTCCAAAATCATGTGCCCTGAGTTCGACAGCAGCAGCTGCGTGCCGGTGAGTGGCCCCCAGGCATGGCCGCGTGTGCTGTGCGGGAACTGGGGGACCCTGGTGGTCTGGGGGTGGCTCCCGGGTTGGGGACAGTGGCCTCTGGACGCGACACTCCTGCGCCACGTGGGCTCGGGCCTCAGCTCCCTCTCCCTCCCTCCAGGGCTCCATCACATTCATGCCCAACGGCTGCTGTAAGACCTGTGAGTATGGCTGGGCAGGGCTGGCCGGGGGGGCACAGGGAACCCCAGGGCAGTGGGAGGGAGACCCTGTCCTGTTGACGGTCCCATGGCCTGAGCCTGGCCAGGGAGCAGATGCGGCCAGAGCCCAGTGTGAGCCGGACACTTGCTTTGGGTGGAGGGCTGGCCGTGCTGCGGGGGGGGGGAGTTGGCATCGGGAGCCCGTGTGAGACCATGCCATGCCCCTCCCCCCAGGCATCCCCCGCAATGAGACCGCAGTTCCCTGCTCTACCATCCCCGTCACAAAGGAGATCTCCCAAGATGGCTGTGCCAAGAATGTCAGCATGAACTACTGCTCCGGGTCCTGTGGGACGTTTGCCATGTGAGTCCCCGCGTCGCGTTGCCTGGGGGTGCGGTGGAGGAGCACCCGGGGGGGTGCGGTGGAGGCCGGCCCTCACCCCGCCCTTCCCGCCCAGGTACTCCGCCCACGTGCAGTCCCTGGACCACAAATGCTCTTGCTGTAAGGAGTACAAGACCAGCCAGCGCCAGGTGATCCTGGACTGCCCCGACGGCCGCTCGCTGGCGCACACCTACACGCACATCGAGAGCTGCCTGTGCCAGGACACCCTCTGCGCGCTGCCCCAGCCTCGGCAGAGCCGGGCCCGACGCTCCAGCCCTCAGCTGCTGGGAAGGAAATGAGCGGCTCCCGCGCACGCCCCCTGCCTGGTCCCGCAGACCCTCCGAGCTTCTGAGATTCCTGAGCTTTGCCTTCTCTTTGCAAATATTTATTTTCTGACTCTGTTCCATCTTTTGCTTTCTGATAATAAACCCAGGCAGATGTTGTACGGTGCTGTCTGAGTTGGTGCGCAGGGGTCTGAGTTGCCCCCCTCCCCCAACCCAGTGTCCAGCCACCAGGCTTTGCATGCAGGCAATGGGAGCTGGCTTTGATGGATACTGAGTGCAAAATGTGGCCAGAAGGGCCTTCCCTTAGACTCCTAGCGGTCTGCAAGGCCCTCTGTGGGAGAGGCCCTCCTACCCTCACCCTGAACCCCACGGTCCCTCACACTAGCAATGCCCTCATCCAGCACCAGGGGTACCACAGGCGTACCACAGTGTATGTGTGCACACCGAGCGTGTGAATACATGCCTATTCACACAGATCACACATGCCTCTGTGGGTGTGTGGCGTGTGCATGTGTGAAGTGAGACTCAGGTTGCAGTGCCCTGTGTGTTTGGTTGCTGAGCCTCTGCCTCCCCGTGGGCCGGGCCCCTGTGGTTTCCTCTATCAAGGCAGGGTACGGGGAGGGGCCCAGGACGCTTGTCATCATCCTCTGGGCCAGAGGCAGGCTGGCAGGTGTCCTCGGTGCCCAGTCCTCATCCCTGAGCTGGGTGGGTGCACTTGTACCTCAGAGAGGGTGAGCCCTGGGGTCCCAGGTCCCCAGCGGCACTGTCACGGGTGGAGATACCACCATTGAACAGCAGGGGGAGGCAGAAACACCTGCCAGGTCCGGCCAGTACCACAGGAGAGGAGAAAACCAGGACTTTTGGGGGGATTCGTGAGGAGACGCTGGCCCAGCGAGAAGACAGACCACCTGTCACCCCACGTTAGCCATTTTGACGCTGTCCTGGAGTGTGCAGCTCGGCTCTGGTGTGAGGGGCATGCTCACAGGGCTGCACAGGGCCGTCCCACACTACCAGCAGGGGCAGACCGCCGACGGAGCTGGCCCCCACGCTGACCACACACTGACCCCACGCTGACCCACGCTGACCACACACTGACCCCCACGCTGACCCACGCTGACCACACTGACCCCACACTGACCCAAGCTGACCACACTGACCCCCACGCTGACCCACGCTGACCACACTGACCCACGCTGACCACACTGACCCCCACACTGACCCACGCTGACCCCACGCTGACCACACTGACCCCCACGCTGACCCACGCTGACCACACACTGACCCCACGCTGACCCACGCTGACCACACTGACCCCACACTGACCCACGCTGACCACACTGACCCCACACTAACCCACACTAACCCCACGCTGACCACACTGACCCCACGCTGACCCACGCTGACCCACGCTGACCCCACGCTGACCACACTGACCCCACACTGACCCACGCTGACCCCCACGCTGACCACACTGACCCCACACTGACCCACACTGACCACACTGATCCCCACGCTGACTCATGCTGACCACACTGACCCCACACTGACCCACGCTGACCCCATGCTGACCACACTGACCCCACGCTGAACCACGCTGACCCCCATGCTGACCACGCTGACCACACTGACCCCCACGCTGACCCATGCTGACCCCCACGCTGACCACACTGACCCCCCACGCTGACCCACGCTGACCCCACACTGACCCACGCTGACCCCACACTGACCACACTCTGGCCTCATGCCCCACACACTGACCACACACTGACAACACACTGACCACACGCTGACCCCATGCTGACCACACTGACCCATGCTGACACCACGCTGACCACACTCTGGCCCCACCCTGGCCCCACACTGACCACACTGACCCTACCCTGACCCAAGCTCACCCCACGCTGACCACACACTGATGACACACTGACCCATGCTGACCCCCACGCTGACCACACTGACCCCACACTGACCCACGCTGACCCCATGCTGACCACACTGACCCCATGCTGATCACACACTGATGACACACTGACCCCACGCTGACCACACTGACCCCACACAGACCCACTCTGACCCCACGCTGACCACACTCTGGCCCCATGCCCACCACACACTGACCACACACTTACGACACACTGGCCACATGCTGGCCCCACAATGACCACACACTGACCACACTGACCACACACAGGTTCCCACGCTGACCCCCACGCTGACCACACTGACCCCACACTGACACACTCTGACCCCCACGCTGACCACACTCTGCCTCCACGCCCACCACACACTGACCACACACTGACCACACGCTGGCCCCATGCTGACCACACTGACCCCACACTGACCCACGCTGACCACACTCTGGCCCCACACTGACCCCACACTGACCACATGCTGGCCCCATGCAGACCACATCCTGGACCCACATGCTGACCACACGCTGACCACACGCTGGTCACATGATGACTGCACACTGACCACATGCTGGCCCCCATGCTGACCACACACTGAGCACACGCTGGCCCTACACTGACCACATACTGACCACATGCTGACCACACTTTGACCACTTACTAACCACATGCTGGCTCCATGCGGGCCCTACACTGGCCTCACACTGACACCACACTGGCCCCATGCTGGCCCCAGACTGACCCCACACTGGCCCACACACTGGTCCCAGACTGATCACACACTGGTCCCACGCTGGCCAAACACTGCATGCTGGCCCAATGCTGACCACATGCTGAAAACACACTGGCCCCACACTGGCCCCACACTGACCGCACACTGGCCTCATGCTGACCCCTATGCTGACCACACACTGACCACATGCTGACCACAGATTGGCCCCATGCTAGCCAGACACTGAGCACATGCTGGCACGATGCTGGCCCCACGCTGGCCCCACACTGACTGCACGCTGGCCTCATGCTGACCCCATGCTGACCACACACTGACCACATGCTGGCCACACATGAAGCACATGCTGGCACTATGCTGGCCTGACACTGGCCACATGATGGCACCAAACTGACCACACGCTAACCCCACGCTGACCCAATACTGGTCCCACACTGACCACACAAAGTTTTGACACTGCCCCCATGCTGACCCCACGCTGGCCCCACACTGACCACACAAAGGCCCCACACTGACCACACAAAGTCCTGACACTGACCAAATGCTGACCACACAGCCCCACACTGACTCCACGTTGGCCCCACACTGGCCACAAGGTGGCCCATTCTGCCCTGTTGTTGTGGCTTTCAGGACAAAAAAAGGGTTTCCAATTGTCTGAGAGCGTGGGAACTGTGGGATGCAGGAGGCAGGCTTGCTGCCACAGAAACCCTGCAGAGACGGCTGCCCAGGTGAGGACGTGCAGCTGGATACAAGGCAAAGACCCACAGGGGGCTCCGATGCAGCTGTGATGAGGATGCGCAGGGCTCCGATGCAGCTGTGATGAGGATGCGCAGGGCTCTGTGGTGCAGCTGTGATGAGGATGCACAGGGCTCTGTGGTGCAGCTGTGATGAGGATGCGCAGGGCTCTGTGGTGCAGCTGTGATGAGGATGCGCAGGGCTCTGTGATGCAGCTGCGATGAGGATGCGCAGGGCTCTGTGGTGCAGCTGTGATGAGGATGCGCAGGGCTCTGTGGTGCAGCTGTGATGAGGATGCGCAGGGCTCTGTGGTGCAGCTGTGATGAGGATGCGCAGGGCTCTGTGATGCAGCTGCGATGAGGATGCGCAGGGCTCTGTGGTGCAGCTGTGATGAGGATGCGCAGGGCTCTGTGATGCAGCTGTGATGAGGACGCGCAGGGCTCTGTGGTGCAGCTGTGATGAGGATGCGCAGGGCTCTGTGATGCAGCTGTGATGAGGATGCACAGGGCTCTGCGATGCAGCTGTGATGAGGATGCGCAGGGCTCAGATGCAGCTGTGAGGAGGATGCGCAGGGCTCTGTGATGCAGCTGTGATGAGGATGCACAGGGTTCTGCGATGCAGCTCTGATGAGGATGCGCAGGGCTCAGATGCAGCTGTGAGGAGGATGCGCAGGGCTCTGTGATGCAGCTGTGATGAGGATGCGCAGGGCTCAGATGCAGCTGTGATGAGGACGCGCAGGGCTCAGATGCAGCTGTGATGAGGATGCGCAGGGCTCTGTGATGCAGCTGTGATGAGGATGCACAGGGCTCTGTGATGCAGCTGTGATGAGGATGCGCAGGGCTCAGATGCAGCTGTGATGAGGATGCGCAGGCCTCAGATGCAGCTGTGATGAGGACGCGCAGGGCTCTGTGGTGCAGCTGTGAGGAGGATGCGCAGGGCTCTGTGGTGCAGCTGTGATGAGGACGCGCAGGGCTCTGTGGTGCAGCTGTGATGAGGATGCGCAGGGCTCTGTGATGCAGCTGTGATGAGGATGCGCAGGGCTCAGATGCAGCTGTGATGAGGATGCGCAGGCCTCAGATGCAGCTGTGATGAGGACGCGCAGGGCTCTGTGGTGCAGCTGTGATGAGGACGCGCAGGGCTCTGTGGTGCAGCTGTGATGAGGATGCGCAGGGCTCTGTGGTGCAGCTGTGATGAGGACGTGCAGGGCTCTGTGATGCAGCTGTGATGAGGATGCGCAGGGCTCTGTGGTGCAGCTGTGATGAGGATGCGCAGGGCTCTGTGGTGCAGCTGTGATGAGGATGCGCAGGGCTCTGTGGTGCAGCTGTGATGAGGATGCGCAGGGCTCTGTGGTGCAGCTGTGATGAGGATGCGCAGGGCTCTGTGGTGCAGCTGTGATGAGGATGCGCAGGGCTCAGATGCAGCTGTGATGAGGATGCGCAGGGCTCTGTGATGCAGCTGTGATGAGGATGCGCAGGGCTCTGTGATGCAGCTGTGATGAGGATGCGCAGGGCTCCGATGCAGCTGTGATGAGGATGCGCAGGGCTCAGATGCAGCTGTGATGAGGATGTGCAGGGCTCTGTGATGCAGCTGTGATGAAGATGTGCAGGGCTCTGTGGTGCAGCTGTGATGAGGATGCG